AGTTACAAAATATATGATCAGAACTGCAGCAAAAGGCCACGTGTTTGGGAATCATTACATTTCCAATACCTTCAAATTATTTTGCATTGGCACTAAAGGCTGCTGTTAGTGATGCATTGTACATGTCCAGCCCTTTCGTCAAACCACTGCCCATGCGAGTTTTTGGGGTTATTTGAGCATAACCTTACAGCGCTGGTCAGTGCGGGCTAAAGGCAAGAAGCATAGACGTGAGAGCATAGTACATGACAACAATGCATTTTGCTGCCCAGGCCTCTGGTGCCCTCCACATAACTACAGTATTGTGCATCGTGGTCACCAATCCATCATTATCCAGGCCTGTATATGCTCCACTATTAAAAACCCAAAAGTTCATGGAATGTATTTTTAATGGGAAAGCTTAACTGGCATTTCTTCCCAAAACCAATCAGATCTGACTGGGAACAAAGTCAACACAGCACCATTCAGAAGTAGATAGAGCCTCGTAAAGAGTTTCATCAAGTACAATGTATACACTTGCAGGGCCATACGTGATCGTACGTGTTTTCCTAATCGCTGGTGAACCCTATCTTGATGATTGAGGTCTGGAAATCACGTGATATTTTTCCTTGCGGTAAAACCACGAAGTAGTACAAATCGTTATCGGCAAAGAGGTTCAAAGCAATTGGGATCATATTACACTCGGCGCCCTTCTGCTATGTATGTAGTATGCAACATTGTCCAATAGGGACGTTGTACACAACAATTCCACTTGAAGCTTCAACGAAAATAATTTGCGATGCCGATGTTCCGTTGGCAGAGATGCACAGGCACAATGGGCAAAACAAATACACGTACACAATAGGGCACATTCTGCGCCATTCATCTTTGTGCTATGTGTGTTGAACTTCTTTCGCACCGTTCGTAGCTATCGGTGGCTAATCGCATTCTCTGCAATATTCATGTTTTTGTTTTGTTGCTGCTGCTGCTCAAACGCACAACAGGCAACTGGCTAAACGGGATCATCCGTTTAACAAATCAAAATAAACCTAACACTACGTATTGTTTTCCTTTTAGGGCACAGTTATTGTAAAATGTGTTGAGCCATCACTTTAAGCGCGTGATACTGATGATTACACGCTAAACTGACTGCTGAGTGTTGAAGGCAATGGTAAAGCAACTCAAATGTCCTCTCGTTTCTGCTCAAGAACCTGTGTTACGTGGTGAGAGGGTGGGTTTGGTTATGATGGAGGGACCTTCAGCCATAGATATTCTGCCCTTGGACAGATAAATGAGAAATTGTGAGTGTAAATATTTTTAATAGATCATTTATAAATAATCGTATTTCTGTGCTGCACCGTTGCTCGATTTTTTTCAGCAAGAGGCAAGGCCGTATAGCCATTGAGTCAACATTGGGAGGGACCAAATCTTCCAGGTGTTATGGGGGTCACCCCCAGAAAAAAAATCTTAATTTGAAAACATTTCCTGCCTAAAATATTTTAAATTCACTAACACATGGGATGGACTTTTTATTTATTTTTGACAATGCCTCATAGTGTATTGTATTACATTGCTTTTTTACCTTTTCTTGTTTCATTGTATGTAATGGCAGAGATTAGGGATTAATAAAGTACAACCACAATCATATTAACAGAAATCTATGCATTGTTATATGAAGACAAGTCCAGATATTGTGGCCAAGGTTTAGCAAATAGTTTTTATTTACATAGCATTGCAATGATTAAAAAATATTTATTTTTATAGCAATATATTGGGGGGGACATTTTGAGCATATGTGTATGTGTCCCCCCCAATGTATTATAATTACGGCCTTGGCAAGAGGTAACCCGATCGAGTTGCTGTGGTAGGTGATGTGCAGGTTTGGCGTGGTTAGGTCAGTCTTGGACAAGGTTGTGTGGTATACAGCAGTGTGTGATCGTACAGTGACATATGGTTGGTAATATACCGAAAATCAAGTTAATGCTGTATTTGACAATGCACGTAGAAGACAAGGATATGTCTGCACTTTAACTCGAGCACATGGCTTGTGAAATGAGCGAATTTACAGATATGCATGTAAAAAACCGAATATTGTTACTGTTGTGGATACCGGTTTTAAAGCGGTTCAGATTTTTGCCGAGTTCAACAAATGTTGCCGTCGACGTAATTGTAAGTCAAGATCCACGTAACCTACAACGTGTTGTTGTTATGTGGCCATACAGAGGTGTGGGGGATTCCCCATCACCCAGAATGTGTCGGTGAAGAGTGACTTTTTAACTCGGCTTGTTAAAACTAAAACCGGTAACCGCTTTGAGAACATAGGTGACCCATTTAAAACGATACTAGAGCGTCGTTAAAGACGCCGGACGCGTTTTCACAGTCACATTCGTGCTGTTACGGATGGCTCAATCGTTGGAGCAACTTCCGCCCATGAACTGGCCCACCCAACTTCTTGGTTCTTTCGGTAAAGTCACGTAGAAGGGAAATAATAAAATTACAATTCTCACGACGTTTCGGCCACAACGCAAGCAGCCGTCCTCAGGTGAAGAACAGGGATGTCTGAATGACGCTGTCACCTGAGGACGGCTGCTTGCGTTGTGGCCGAAACGTCGTGAGAATTGTACTTTATTATGTTTATTTGTATTATTTTATTATTTCTCTTCTACGTGACTTTACCGAAATAACCAAGAAAATGAATCCCTGCAGTCACGAAAGCTTTAAATCGAAATTGACCCACCCAAGTTTGAGTCCTGGCCCTGGCTGAACGTGGCGAAGTTGATGTTGGGAGATGCGACCCCGTGGGCTTCTAACGTTTCACCAAATTCGTCATGGCCATCGTGGTGAAGTGTGGTCGAATAAGCCCCGTGGGCTGGTGAATGGGAAGCCTTCACATCCTAGAAGTGACTGACAGTCGATGTACATTGTTATATAAAAGCCCCATAACAAATCATTGGAATGTTTTCTCATTCACCAAGTTCCAAAACTGGTTGGTGTCGGACGGTCCTGAACACACTGCCAAATGCGTGTCTACATGGTAGAGTACATTTTATATTTGATCTGTACGTTATCCAAATTAATGAATTTACGACGAGCCACTGTAATGGACCTCTGTTACAAATAGCTTTGCAGCTCACCGGATTCATCCAGTATTCTATGTCTGAGACGTCTTTCGCAATCACCCGGCAGTAAACACCACTCGCTCTATCGACCACATTGCGTGACCAGCGTCGGCTGTTAATGGCGCACCAATTAACGCAGCGTAAAAAAGAGCAACGGGGGGACACCCCCTTGACCTCACTCACACCACCCTCCCTCCACTCCCCACTTCTCTCACGCATGAGATAACCGGGGCTGTGTGTGTGCACAGAAACTGAGGCTGGAGGGGGGGTGGTGGCAGAGAAGAGGTAAAATCTGCAGCGCATGGAAAATGAACAAAGCCACCAACCACCACCAGTGCCCTCCCACCCGCTCCAACTCACTTCTGGCCATGTGTTCCGAGCCACGTACGAGCAAATGACGTCAGCCCTTTAAAGGGGGAGGGGCTTACAGCAGCGAGGGGGCGTGGCGGTGTTCAAAGAGGGCGGGGTTTAATGGGGGGGGGGGGGGGGGGGCCTCATGAAGACTTCCGGTGGCGAGAGCGTTCGCTGATTGGCCCACACGTGTGAATGAGAATGCATTGGACACACGAGGAATCGGATGAGCTGTAAAGCTCTTTCTCGCGGACGTCCAGTCGGGGCGGATAAGAACGTGACGACAACAAACAGTACAAAAAAACACGATAGGAGTGCAAAGTACAAGAAATGTAAATAAATCACCCAAACACTTACAAATGCAACACTCAACCATCCACCAATGCTACGAGACGAAGCCCACTGAGGTGTAAACTTATTTTTCAGAAGCGACCTGGCCACAAATGATAGCTCAACAAAGTGGCCCCATCATTCGGAGAAGATAACAACGGGTAGAGACTCAACGCGTTCGTCAAGAACGCGCTGCCTGGCCTTTTAAAGAGAGAGACGGGAATAAAAACAATTGGACGTTTCGGGCAATGACCCTTATCGCAGAGAGATAGAGCGGATAATAAGAGTTTGTTGGAGACTGCACATTTTACACCATGGGTCCTGATAAGAATGACATTTCAGAAATGTTTCCTGATGGAACAGTTTTTAGATATTTTAACCGGTACATGATGAATAGTTACCTAAAAGTCGATACAGTGCTGTTTACCGGTGCAGTGTGTTGGGACCCTTTAACACGTTCCGGGGGGAGGGGGGAGGATGGAGAGGGGGAGGAGAGGGGGGAGGAAGGGGAGGGAGGGGGGGGGAGGGAGGGGGGGATGGGGGAGGGAGGAGAGGGGGGAGGGGAGGGGGAGGAGAGGGGGGAGGGAGGGGAGGGAGGGGGGGATGGGGGAGGGAGGAGAGGGGGGAGGGGAGGGGGAGGAGAGGGGGGAGGGAGGGGAGGGGGAGGAGAGGGGGGAGGATGGAGAGGGGGGAGGAAGGGGAGGGAGGGGGGGGAGGGAGGGGGGGATGGGGGAGGGAGGAGAGGGGGGAGGGGAGGGGGAGGAGAGGGGGGAGGATGGAGAGGGGGAGGAGAGGGGGGAGGAAGGGGAGGGAGGGGGGGAGGGAGGGGGGGATGGGGGAGGGAGGAGAGGGGGGAGGGGAGGGGGAGGAGAGGGGGGAGGGAGGGGAGGGGGAGGAGAGGGGGGAGGGAGGGGAGGGGGAGGAGAGGAGAGGGGGGAGGAAGGGGAGGGGGGTAGGAGGAGAGGGGGGATGGGGGAGGAAAGAGAGGGGTGAGGAAGGAGAGGGGGAGGAAGGAGAGGGGGGGAGGAAGGAGAGGGGGGAGGGAGGAGAGTGGGGAGGAGAGGGGGGGGCGAGGGGAGCAGAGGGATGGGAAGTCGGTGATGGAGGGAGGGGAGGGAGGAGAGGGGAGGGACGGAGGGGAGGGAGGGCTCGTAGTGGGCGTGGCTACCCGCGTGGTGGGCGTGGCTTGAGCTCTCGTGACGTTGCGCGTGGAAGAGGCAACCACCAAGCGCCGCGCGACACGCGTCTGGACTTGACTCGCGCTTGCAGTTGCCACCTTGAAGCAGCAGCAACAACAGCAGCAGCGGCAGTCGCAAGCAACAACAGCGGCAGCAGCAGCAGCAGCAGCAACAGCAGCAAGCAACAACAGCGGCTAACGTTAGAGGGGTGTGGCTGGGATGAGTTGCGGTTCGGGTCCTCCGTTTTGATTTGATTTTGCTGGGAGGGGAGGCGAGATTCTTGAGTTGTTTATGAAGTTGAAACTCAGATTTGTTTAACGTGGTGGCGGTAGTGCAGTTTAGTGGGTAACAGGCGATGGTGGTGCAGTTAAGTGGCGGAAAGTTGTGGATATTAAGTGCTCTGTGAGCCATTTCGTAGCTGCAGGTGGTTGTGGTGGAACACGTGTGTTAGTGAAGCACTGTTAGATAATGGTCGTTGTAACTAACTGGCGTTGTGTGTGTCGCCTTTGCTTTGTGATTGCGTATCGTGGCTTGTAGTGGGATTGTACACTCGGTTTGGAATGGCACAGTAATTATCGATTCGTCTTTGCACTTCGTGTGTGTTGTTGATTGTAATAGGTGGCATCGTGTGCGAATTGGCTTGAGCACATGTAACACATCACTTGTGGTTGCCCTTGTTTGTTGGCGGCGTTTACGGATAGTGTTTGTAGCTGGTTAAGAGTTGATCATCGTTGGTTGTTTGTAGTTAAAATTGGTGCTTTTTAAAAAAAAAAATCTGCCATTGGTGCTTTCACGTTTTGATAGGTGCTATAGTTAGCGGTGCTTGTGGAGTGCCACCACCATCGTTTTTACCCCCCTTGTTATGAGCAAGTGAATAATTGCTCATGGGAGCCCTGTGTACATGGGCCCTGTGGGTATGGGCCCTATCGCTGCTGCTGGTGCCACCACCGCTGCTGTTTGGCTTTGCACCGGACCAAGATCTGGGGCCAGGACCGACTGATTCGGGCCGTGGTGGAGTTGGGATCCTCGCTGGGGGCAAGACGCCGAGCTCCAGGTCAGTCGAGGTCGTCTCTCTCTCATCTCCTTTTTCTCTCTCTCGAGAGAGAGTTAATTTGGGGGGAAGACCACCGACCATCATTGTTCGGAACGCCGTCGTCTGCACGCACACCGCAACGCAGTTTCGTTAACCGTACAACGAAACGCGAACATTTAACATTCGCTCGTTCGCGTACTCATTAATACAGAAATGTGACCAGACTTTAAAAAAATATATATACCGTGCCCCGTGTGTGTTTATTGTCCACGTGTATTATGTATTATAACACGCGGGTTGAGCCATGCGAGCAAGTTGAGTGAATGTAATGTGACCCTGGGGGGGTGGGGGGTGGTGACCCCGTGAATTATCAGCGGTTCTAATCCAACAGCTCTCCCTGTACAAGTGTTGGCGGATCACAGATTTGTGAAACGAGCAAAACTTCACGATTGCAAAGACCTTTTTATATATATATAAAGAGTGAGCAGTAAGTTGGATCTTACCCCTGATGCCACCCGGCGTTTTTCCAAAGACAACGGGGACAGGCACTCTGTAACAACTAAAACATGAAGAAAAGCAATTTGGCCAGACATACACATTTGAGGAACTTTCAAACGACTTTGAATGTACCCTGAAGATAATTGTTGAAGACACGCACTGTGGTAATACTGTATTAGTCGGCGTATACCACGATCTCGGGGTAAGGCGAGATAATTCAAAAGGGAATGAAAATGTGTAGTGAAATTTTTTTTCTAAATGTTCCCGTTTATAAAAGTTCATTTTATGACGTTAAAGGACTTAGTTACTGTACTCAAGTGTCTTGTGCAATACTATAACCACACACACTATGTTATTTTCTGGTGTTAGGCCTTGTTTACAAAATGAGATGTTATTCCATTGGATCCCCCCCACCTGGTTTAAATAACGCTAGTAACCCCGAATACTGTGTAGGGTACAGTGTTAGTCATGCAATGTGCAGTAATTTAATCAAACTGTAAGGCCATGTGCACAGTCACATGGCCTTGTGGTGTAGGGGAGGGGGTAGCACATGCCTTCTTACACTTTGGCACAACGCAGCATAGAGGCTGTGTGCGCACTATCGAATGTAACATGGTACTTATTAAATGTTGCATTTGCCAGGGGGGGTTAAACATTGTGCTGATGTTTGTGCTTGTTAAATCTGATGTTAAACTAGCTGCATGACATGAACCTCCCAATGGGATGCACACGCAAATCCTCCTGTTGTTTGTACAATACCTTTCAATTTACTTTTGGGAGGGTGATTGTTACATTCTTATGTTTAGCAGTGGAAATTGACAAGTGGTTTCGACTCTATGAGCATTGTTTTCCAGAGCTTATGTAAAAAAAAACAGATTAATTTTTGGTCAATCACATACCGTACTTGGGGTGCATTTGTCTGTTAGCTGCCCTTTCCAGATCACACTTCTTGAGTTTTCAATTCATGTAGTAATTGGAGTGGATGTTGCTACTTTAGATGTCTTACAGGGTTATGGATAAGATTGGGGGTTTGGTTTGGGTTGTTAAATATAGAATAGTATTTTGACTTAACTTTCGTGACTGCCTTAACTTAACCTGAGTGAGCGTACTGGCAGTCTATAATGTAGACTTATTCTTGGTTCTTTCAGGAATAAAATAAAAAAGAATACAAATATGAAACCGAAAGAACAAAAAATATGTCTACATTAGAGACTGCCAGTACGCTCACTCAGGTTTAGAACCAGGCTACAGTCTACATTATAGACTGCCAGTACACTCACCAAACTTAATAACCAGGCTACATTATAGACTGCCGTAGTACACTCCGATTAAGAACCAGGCTACAGTCTACATTAGTGGGTTTTTAAAAAAAATGTAGATATTTTTATGCACTTTATTGAATAATGTTTCTACCTACGTGACTTTACCGAAAGAACCAAAGAATATATAATTGTAATCATACTTTAATGCTGTATAAACTAAGTAAACCTTCGCCGAGTCTCAATATTTTTTTTCTAGCATGGTAATACACTAGAATGAACGTTCAATTAATATTTGGTATGTGAGATGAAACTGAAATATACTTTGGGATAACACTCAGAGTTCTGCACAGATTGATTGGAGCTCGCAACCCCAACCTAGAACACCTGGTGCAGTATTTCCAAGCAGTTTCCCATGAAAGTATTAACCAGGCTCAACTCTGCATAGATTCTAAAATACCACACAGATCAGGCCTAAGTCGGGTGATTAAGATAAAATACATTAGATTTGTGAGTATTCATAACTCAAGATCATCACTTATTAATCAGCATTACACATGTGGTTATCGCAGAGTGAACATGATTCGGCTCATGTTTGAGCCATTTCTGCTATGAAGAAGAGCCTTTTGTGAAAACTCGCATTTCTTTTAGGACTGTTCTTGACGAATATGCTGAATGAAGTTTGTTAATTGTGCTTGTGCACCACTACCAATGCAGGATCACCAAATAATTAGTTTTGCATCGTTAAAAGTGAAATTGAATCGTGTCTGTCAGCTAAACCCCAAAAAACCCAAATTGTGATATTTTATAAGGCCTAACGGCTTGACATTGACTTCGTGCATATTGGCACATGACGAAATGTGCACTTTTAACAAGAATTGTGTTTTAAATCTGGCCATTGCCGTTCTTAAAAACAAACAAAACCCAGTTATGTTTAAAGAAAATTCCAGCATCTGAAAAGTCAGAAGTTACAGTTTTTTGTTTGCATTTAATTCAGGATCTACGTGTGGGTGATATTTGTCTTTTCGGACATACGGTTGGTTTAATTTAGTTTGAAGAAAAAAAGAAAACCCCATCGCTTTTTTCCAGGCATGCTTGTATTATTGACATTTTGAGTAACTTGTATCCATCCCGTGATATTTGGCTAACTGACACGTGATCACTGACGACATTGGTGTTGCTCTGTCTAAAATAAATCACAGATTTAAGTGATGATTATTACTTTTAGTATTCTCCTTTATTGAATTTGCTCTCACTTTAATAGTTTTTTAAATAGAGCCATTGATGCAGTGGTGTCTCGTATTTATTCTAACCTGTTCAGCCTCATCAAGTAACCCACTCGTCCATTAACCCACACGTTACAGCGCATGTAAGCTGAGTATAGTGTGTAAACGTGTGTTCTCCTGGGTTAGGCCACAGTCTTGACTTGAAGATGCTTGGTCATTGTCCTTCCAAATATGAATGTATTTCTTTGGGGAACGGTGACAGTGATTTTGTGCAAATCCCTTAGAACCCAGTGACCTCGGTTCGATTCCTGGCCACGGATAACATCAGTGGCGAGTTATCAGATAGCGGAACCAGGCTTGAACCTCCCATTCACCTACCCGCACTGACCAGCATGGTGTAGTATCGTCACACAGCCCCCATGGGGAGACTTTTGTTCAGGAGTGGTTATGACAAAGGGCGAAAGGTTTTTAGTATTGTCGACTGTCAGTTTTATACCCAGAGATGTTTGTTTTAGCTCAAGTTCCTTTCCTTCCGACTAGTATGTCCGTAAAAACTTTTGTCTACCTGCTGCATTTCACCAATTTTTATGATGCTATGCCTTGTTAAAAATTCCTGGAAGTAGTTCATAAGTTGTTCGTAGTTTTAGACAACTGGCTTATGCTTTGGTTGACTCTCCCGTGCTGTTGACGAGTAGTACAGTGTCAACATGCGTCACTGTTTGCGTAGTTCCTGTAAGAAAGGGGGACGTGTCGCTTCGGGGTTAAGAAGCATGGCTTATTGTGTCATGTCTCAAACGTGTTCTGGAATGAAACCGTAAATACCATGGGCTCTGGAAAGAAGAAAACAACTTGAAGTGAAAGAATATTGCATCAGATGAACTACATGCTGAGCATATTCTTGGGCTCTTTCGGTAAAGTCACGTAGATAGTTTAAAATTAATAAAATAAACAAAAACTACGACGTTTCGATCACAACACAAGCGATTGTCATTAGGAGGAAAAAAGATAGTTCGCTTGTGTTGTGATCGAAACGTCGTAGTTTTTGTTTATTTTATTAGTTTGAACATATCTACGTGACTTTACCGAAAGACCCAAAGAAATGATCACGAAAGGTTTAAGTCAAGATTGTACATGCTGAGCAGCTTTGTTAAAAAACAAACCTAAATTCAGTCTAAAGAGATGTTTGCTGAACATAAGGTGTCTAAAATGTGTCTGCTTCTCATACAGAAATTAAAATGGTCAAAAAATAACACGGCATTACTGCCGATTGAATGTTTCACTGTACAATTTTGTAGTTGCCATAAATTGGCTTTCCTTTTTTTTACATATAAAATATTTACATCTTTTGTGGGTCCAAACTATGGAACGATTATCCCATCTGTTTTATTTACTTACAAGATCGAAATGTTCTTGTGTTATCCACTTGGCCTTTCATTCATGTCATGTTCTGCTGATATTGTGCATTTCCGACAAGGCATTTTCTTTCACCTGATGACTTGACTCGATTAATTTGGATTTGACTTTTGTATGAAATAATTAAATCTAACTAACCATGCTCAATCCACTGTTAGATGAATGCCTTTTCTATGCTATAGCCATCTCTCAGTCATGTGATCCATTGCATGGGTGGACCTATTATGTACACACATCTCGTATTCCTACTGCTGTAGACATTCAAATACATCTGGCCTTCATTTGCTTCAAAAGTCGAGAAACAACAGTTGTGACTGGGGCGCCACGGTGGCGAGATGTTAACTACCTCGCCTGGTATACAGGAGGTCGTGGGTTCAATCCTGACCCTGATGCCCGTATATTTGGAGTTTACATGTTCTCCCCGTGGTCGCGTGGATTTTTCTCCGGGGCCTCCGGTTTTTCAATCCACATTTAGAAACATGCGTTTAGAGAATTTGGCTGCTATACATTTCCACGTGATAAGACACTATATATACTAGGATAAACAATACACCAACAAGCGCTATGAAAAAAAATCTGCTTTCCAATGCAATGTGTTTTACAAATTGAAATGGTGCATGTTGGTAAACTATAGTCACACTCAATACTGATTTTATTTAACTAAGTTTATCATTCCGCTTAACGCGAGAACCTAAAATTCCTGTGTTGGTAGCCTTAAGGCAAGCAAAAAAGTCCCCTTTCCAGCATGCAATATATATATTTTTTGGAGAAAATGTGACCCGCACTTTTAATTATTTTAACAGAAATAAATAGCAACTGTATGACTGAATACAACCTCAATTCCATCTGCAAGTCGCAAAGCAATATACAGCACGATGCATGTAGAAAATACTTGACTAAAATGATAGGGATACATCTTATTTCAAAGCCTCTACATGTCTGCCATCAATCTCAATATACCTATTTAATATTTTACAACACTCGTCCTCTAGGATATGAAGCCATCAATCCATTGCCTTCACAATATTCAAGCACCAGTTGAGAAGAAAGTAAGAGGGTCCTTATAAATCAGTGGGGTGTCTAGATATGTGATGTCTTGAGTGACTTCACAGAGATTGTGCAACAGTGCATGTTTGAATGAGGTGAAGAGAGAGTGAGGCTTGCGTGCCACTCATCCATCATCCATATATTCCAGGGAATAATTGACAACTGTAGGCACGGCTGTGGCAGTGAGAGTGGCCACCGCAGGCTAGTGTAACAATACGATTGTTTTACCGTTGTTGGACACGCAAAAGCATTTTGCCTCTGCATGTCTTTACATGGAAACATTAAAACTCGAAACCTCCTGAAGTTAAGGCATGTACACGAACAGACATTTTAACCATTTGGTCAATCCACAGCCGGATGAGGGCTTTCCCACAGCATGCGTGTGATGTTTTTTTTACAACACGTAACTACGCTTATCAGTGTAGGTTAGGGACGGCGTGGAGAATAGTTGTGGGGACATAGAAGTACGGTACAAGAGTGGACTTTTCCACAGTGCCCTATTGCTGCCTGCAATCTAGCCCGGCACCAAGACGTGTAAATAAAAGCAGCAAAAAGTTCTGTGCTCCTGGACACGGCGATGGCGGCGGCGGTGGCTAACCTGTTGTATGCTGTGGGGCTTTGCAGCTCGTTGGTGATCATCAGCACACTGGACGGGCAGCTGACGGCGCTGGATGCGGAGAGTGGCGGTGCGCTGCGCTGGCGTCTCGATGCCGGTGCCGGCTCTTTGCTCGCATCGAGCATCAGCACCAACCAGGTGAGGGTGCGATCGCGAGCCCTTGATGAGAACGCATACGCTCTTAATTGTACACGGCCTTTTCGTTTGTCCGCTGCTGGATTAGGGGCTCCCCACGTGAAACGTGCGTTTAGATTATGTAGATTATTTGGCTGCTGTAGATGTCCACGTGATAAGCCACTTTATTGAGATATTATTTGTGACCAGGTTGCTTCTGAAACCGAAGCTAATAGCTCAGTGGGTTTTACCTGGTAAATGAAAAAAATATTTTTCGTGATTTGCTTACCTTTCCTACACGCTGCACCCCTATCGTGTATTTGTATAGTTTGTTGTAACTTTCTGACCCGCCTCTACTGGACATCTGTGTAAAAGAGCTTCATAGCTCAGCGGATTCCTCCAGTATAAATACAGATTCTGATTCTGGCTCGCTGAGGTTATTTGTCCATACTTAATGTTGGGGGGAACATGACAGTTGGGAGCATGGTTGAGCACAACAATAGATTTTTCTGCACTGCCTTCTGCTGGAAGCGTAGATTCGGAACAATCAATGACTCTTGTTTTGTGCACATTCCAAGCTCGGCTGCTTAGCTTTTGAGATTTGTTGATATCGGGCACATTGTTTGGTCATAATCCATAGCTTATATATTTACAATATATTGCAGCTCACTTTGGTATCACAGACATTCTAAATATAGTTTTAGCTCAAAGTGCCGTAAAACGGCACATACCGAGGCATCGATTGATTCGTCAACAGAAATTGATTATTATGCTCAGGACACACTCAGAATGGATAAGTTACGATTTATGCAAATGATATGCTCAGGTTACATTTAGGCGAATGTAGCAAACAAAATTGTACAAATGAGACGGCTAAAACAATAAAACAGGTATATGAGATGGGATAAACTATATTAAAGGAGTTGATTATTGAATCTAATTGCAACTCCAAATCGTCTAAAAATAACTGTGAACAAGAGGTTTATACTAATATTTTTTTTTTAAGTTCAACATGTGTTAAATACATTCAATGAGTCATAAGGGAGAAGGTAAATATTTTGTATGTTGGGAGTTATGCAGGTGCTAGGGTGGAATATAAACTGTATTTAATACTGTAATCGGATTAGTTTCAAGGTAGAGAGAAGCCATTTCTAAGAAGATAAGAAGAACAGCTTGGATCCTTTTTGAGCAATGAGTCACCGGTACCTATGCATGGCCTTGCCAACCAGCTAAATGGTTCATGTACTTGCTGGTATTGCTTGTCATAAACTCATTTGCTTTGTCATGTGGGTTAAGCACCAGTAGGTTATTGTCGATATATTATATTTACACCAGTAGGTTATTGTTATGGCTTCTATCCCACATATATCCATTGTGACAATCATTCACTTAGACATTTTCTCAGATAAGCAGACCCCTTTTGAGGTTGGAGCTTTTTCTGTGGCTTTAATTGCATAATCATGCCCAGCCTTTTTGTCAATCCACGACTGGATGAGGTCTTCCCTCCACCACCGTGCAAGTTGTGCGGGTTCGTGAAGGTGGTGACTTAGGAGCATAGAAATAAGGAACAACAATGCATTCTGGTGCACTATTAGGTAGCCACTGAAGCGGATCTATGCACTCTCAATCTAAATTGAACACTCATTTCTTTAGAACTTATTTTAGTGTTTAGTTTGTTGTCTTTCACCCGCACATCCAATTAGCACGCTTGGCGATGTAACGGTGAGAAAAAAGTGCAAGTTCCCGTTGCTGCACATAATCTAGTCCCACATGGTGATCATTTATATTTGTATAGATACCAAGATCTCATGATGGGGTTAAAAAACTTTGTCAGAGGCAGCCACACTATCGCAAGGTGTATATTTATTTACGCATTCGAATGAATGCCCAAGTATAAGAGGACACGTTCAAAGTAAATGAGATTTTGCCTGAGTCTGCACTAGACTGTGGCCCATGTTAATAGCTGTCTCACAAACACTTAACAAGAGTGGGGAAAAAACTTCCTCCAGTGGTGTCACGGTACTCTTTGGTTTTTTCGGTAAAGTCACGTAGATGAAAATAAAATAAAAATGATTTTATTTAGTTTTCATTTTTTTTTTCATCTACGTGACTTTGCCGATAAACCAAAGAGTATGGATCCTTGCAGTCACAAAAACTTCAAATCTAGAATGGTGTCACGGTTTCAAGACAAGACACGCTACCTCGAGTGGGCAATACAATAGCAAGCAGTGTTCCATGCTTAGGCTCAAAACGTCATTCATAACCTTGAGGTATTATATAATTTGGCACCAGGTGCTGGAAATCAGATTAATCATCTCCAGTGTCGCTTTTGAAAAATAAGCAATTATCCACCAGTGTATCAAGTTAGCACTTGCAATCAGATAAACGAAACTATTCTTCAAATCTACCCAATGTAAAGATATTCAACATTGAGCACAACTGTGTATGTTTGTCACTCTTATAATTGTTACTGTAAACACGAAACACCAGACTACACATCTTTTTGGGTATGTATTCAGTACGTGGTATAACAGTGAACTTAAAATGTGTATTGTGACTACTGTAATTTATAACTTTTATTGGCAGCTTGAACATTTAACAGATAAAATCAAGTTCGAGAAATACACGATTTATTTGATATATTCTGTATTTTGGGTTTATTTGGTGAATATAAATGGTGGTAAATCAGAGAAAGCATTCAGATTTGTATTGTTTTGCCCAATATTTTTTTAATATAAAGGGAATCGTGCACATTTTAACTTCACAGGTAACCTCCATTGTGGTTAAATAGTTCAACACTCGTCACAGCTGTGTTTGGGCATGTAATTGTGAAACGGTTAATATCTTTAAATGTATATTCTTGGTTCCTTCTACGTGACTTTACCGAAAGAAACAAGAATATGAATCCCTGCAGTCACGAAAGCTTTAAATCAAAATCTTTAAATGTCTTTTTTTCTGTTATAACGGTACGTAAATGGAATCAAGCATGTACAAATTGTTTGCCTATAATTTGTGTAAATTGTATGCAAATGAAATGATAATGTTAACTCTAGGATAATGAAATAAATAACAGAATGCAAACCAGATGGACGAGGCAAGACAATATAAACGTGTTTGTAAAATAGGTCCAATTCAGTTGCATTCTGTCTCATCGCCGAAAGATTAATTACGGCAAAATCCTACGACTGTACAGTCCACTGTGCCTTAATTTTCACTAGGGGGGGGGAGTGGTGGCACAATAGTTTTTACACTGCGCTATGAACGCACCAACCCTTGTTTGATTTCTGGCCATGGCTAATATCTATGGTGAGTGACAGCTGAATGGGTCCTGGGTCCCCGCTTCACAAACCGCACTGACCGGCGTGGTGAAATAGTTTGATGAAACAACCCGCATAACCGATGTAGCATGGGGGGGGGAGGCTTTCATCCAGTAGTGGATTGACAAATGGATGAAAGTCATGTTTCTTTTCTAATTTAATGCACACCAAGATGTTGGCTCCAGTGAATGTGACAGCAGCTGACGGGGCACCCTGCATGCCCTCTGTTGGCTTGTCGGTGCATAACAGCTTGGGTCTTAGAAAAGCCAGCTTTTAGGGCCAGTTTCACAACTCGACTTAACAGCTGAATCACACTGCCTTGGTAATTTTCCACATGATTGGTAATGGAGACATTGGAACCTTGTAGTCGGGAAAAAAATATTAAAAGCAACATGTGTATTGGGCCCTGGATGTGTGATGTTTTTTTTTTACTTTGCTGCAGGAGTAGGTTACTGTGTAATTTATTTATGAAGAATCATCAATGAGTCATAAGACTATTTTTCTGGAGAGTCCTGAGTGGAGATGCTTGGCAAGAATTGTTTGTGTGTTTGTGAGGAAAGAGCAGTACCTGGAGAAACATGCTGTGGATATTCACGTTTTACCACTGTTAGAGGTCATCAGTATGGCAGTGCCGGTACCTCCTACCTCATTGTTCCTTGGCTATCAAAGAAAATGCCTTCCCCAGTGCACTGGGGAGACTCCATAGGAAGACGTATTACGTCATGCATCCTGATTGCTTATCAAGATGACATCATATCCAATCGATCAGAATCCACATAATCTGTATGCAATATTTATTTCCCTCGTAATGTTAGAGAACACAAGCGCTATTGGCGATCTAGATGGCTCAATACTGAAAATGTTATGTTTTTATTGTAGTTATTTTCTCATCAGAAACCATATTTAAGTGGTGCTGACTTGTTGTGCTTTGTTCTGGTCACCTTTTGCCGAGGATGTCATGTCGATGACTCACTTGGCAAAACATGCCATTTCAAAGCACGTTGTTGCCTCCGGTTATTGATGAGTTCATTCAAGGGTGGTTCTGCTGAGCAAGAGCGAATGCAGGGGGCTTTTATTTTGACAGGGTGACGATGCACACAGGTCTGATTGCACAATCGTATAGAGACTGCCCTATCAATACGTTGTAAATAAAGTTAACCTTTCTTACCCTTGTTATAAAGGTTATACATGTACACTTGTAGGGTAGTCGTTGGCCTATTCACCTAAGTAAATGAACAAAAATAACCAAAAAATATTTATATATTTCATTGCCCATGATGTTAAACGCTCCATTTGGAGGCTAATTACATTTTATGCTATTGGAAAAAAAGTACATCAGTCAAATACTTTCCAAGTGTCAAACGTAAGAAAACTCGCTCACTCGCTGCTTAATAGACATCTCATTCAACAGCAATTTTTGGTCAATCTCAAATGTTAAGCATTCTCAACCATTGCAAAAACATGCTTTTATCCACGACCTACATAGTAACGACTGAAATATTAAACACTCTCAGTGGGGGGAGATGATGGGGGTGGGTGGGTGGGGTAGACCGACCGACCGACATATACATCCCAATAACCCATTTAGAAAAAAAAATCGGTGGCGGCCACGGTTGATGAGCGATTCTGCCCGGCGGCTGGCGCCCGAGGAGGGGTGATGTCATGCTCAGGGTGACATCACGTGCCAGTCCCCCCCCCAGCAGGAGCAATGAGGTAATGCGTCCTCCTTTAGGCGATGACTCGCACTCCGGTCCCCTACCTAATCCACTCCCAAGCTGTTTGTTGTGGCACCACGCCGCCACTCACACCGACTGCACCAACGCTTGTGGACAGGAAGAGGGCTGTAAATGAGTAGACACATTGCCCCCCCACCCGGCAACCCTTTGGCCTCCCGATTTAAAAAAAATTATAATTGTATTGCCGAGGTGCGGACACCTCGAATGTAATGGTGCGTTTGAAACAAGCCTTGCTGCCGCTAGTTAATTGAGCCGTCAGGAATGTGGCTCCTAAAAGTAAATGTGTTTGTTTGTTTCTCTTAAGACATATAAACCACCGAATTGTATGTGTGTTTGGTTGCTTTAAGTGGTGAAAAGCAGATTGAGTTTGATCATCATTCAGTTGGGAAATGTAAGCATCCAAGTGCAGAATTTACACAGTGCCATATTCGTTGATTTGCTTTGTGCTTTGTGCAGGATGTTTAAACCTTGAAAAAGTGCTGTCCCCCTGTATGAACCATTACATTGAAGTTGTAGACTGTGTAAAGGTTTTTAGCTACACCTTTGATTTGTATATTATTCATTTAATTTTGTATTTTATTTGTATTCTGTTATATATAGAATATACATTTTATTGAGGCTATTCTATTTACAATGCTATTTTCTATAACGAATTAGATTAATTTATATTGTCTTAAATACTGCGTTGTAGAATTTTAAAATATATTTTTACATGACACTTTCATCTCGGGTCTCCCTCGTAAATAGATTAATTGTTCTATTTGCTATTCTACACGATGGTTGTAATCAAAGGAAGTGATGGAACCGTTTGTAAAGTAGTCTATTAAACAACATATTACCTGTGGTAGCTGGGCTTGTAATTTCATCAGAAAATTATGCTTTACAATAATGGTTCAGCATTATACGAATAAAACCATGTTGATGAGACTCATTGAAGTTGAAACTGCATCAATATTGCCTTGCTTAAACAAAATCCGTTTGAAAACATAACATCAAGGCCCTATTGTTCGAAGAATTAAATGTTATTTTCTTTCAATAATTCCACGAAGATGAGCAAACAACCTATGTCCTTTTACTGTAATTTTATTTCTATATTGTTGATGATTCGATGAACTTTGACGATTCAAGGTCGAGATTTGATTCAAACATTTAAAACATTGTGATGATGTAGTAGCTACTGTTGGCTGCAGAGGTAACGTAGACTTTTTGCAGCACCAATCGAACTACATTGTTTCTTAAACACATTAGTTGATGCATATACCGTAATAACAATCGATATTAATCTATGCATGCATGCATTATTTTATACCCCCTCCTAACAATGTTATAACTCGCAGATCTGGAAGTCCACGGCACACGGGGAAAAAAAACAATATATTGCACCATGACGGTGTGCCCCAAATTATGGGTGGAATTATGTTCTTCCGGAAGAGATCCAAAATTCGACGGCAAAAGGATCCCCAACCCTCTGTATTACGGGAGTTGTTGCGCAGTGGTACCGCGACTTTTTAGGCTTTGCGTAATTATGAGAGCGGATGAGCAGAGTTCTACTATTTACTTACCTGTTAATATCCTTTGGCTGACCCAGGGGTTAACATATGAAGGTAAGGCTATTGTCCTGTGGTGTCTGAGCATATCTCTGGACTGGTTGTTTGAGCTTAAACTCGTTTGAATTAAACACATTTTACGAAAATAATAATCATTAATGAATTGGTCAATGCATCTTCAGAAGGACTCGACTTTTGCCCGTCCAAGGACGGGTGTATTCCAGGAAATCTGAAACTTGCAAGCGAAAAGCAGACCGCGACGTGATATATTCATTGCATCCATTCGTGTGCAATTTGTAAGGGCGCGGTGACACAGACCTATTTAATTTAAAGGTTATAATCCCTTGTTCAGTATGACGTCCTTATTACTCAATAGCGTTACGGAGATCGTGTGACGTGAGAGTTCTGCCTTTGTAGTGAGGGTTGTAAGTTGACTCTGAGGAGGGGGGAGGAGGCCCCTCGCCCCCCCCCCCATGGGGAGTGACGTCAGCCGCTAATTATTATGAATGTAGGGGGGGGGGTCCATTTGGAGGACGTCACCTGTTCATTATTATTAATGAAGGGGGCTGGTCGACGTGGAGTGACGTCACGCACGTTACACACTGATATTCTTGGGTAAATATAGTAGTAAATGGGGGAGTGGTGGTGTAGTGGTTTCAGTTTCATTTTCATTTATTAGGTACTAGCTGTACTACCCGGCTTCGCCCGGGACTTGGATTCACCACGGCCGGCCGCTTTTGTCTCCCCAGTGGCGATGTTCACACACCACACTAGTTACTCGTTTGAGGCTGAGTCGACTTAGGGGAGGCCCAGGTTCAAATAATCGTCACGGGTGGTGGCCGTGAGCGGGAATCGAACTCGGGTCGCCGGGTTCGTAGCGCAGCGCGCTAACCATATGTACACATACACGCACTTGCTGCAGACACACACAATTTTCAGGGTGCGTATGGTAGTAAACGACTGAAATAATAAAGCAATGCTGCGCGAAGAACGCCTTAGACCTGCAACACATTTGTATGGCACTTTACCCGCGATCAGCAGGCACACTCCGTTTCGCTTCCGCATACGGGTCACATGACAGATGTGACGTCACAGCTCACTTGCCGTGCAAAAAATATATGCATTATTAAGCCCCCCCCCCCCAAAAAATACAAAAGTGTATTTTTATAATTTTTTGCATGGTGTACAGTCTGGAAAGTACCCACATGGCAAATTTCGAGTTTGTTGCATATCGGGAAGTACGTTAAACTTTTTCAACAGACACACATAATCACAAATTTCCCTTTTATATTTCTAGAGATAATCCTGTGAGCCATGCGGCTCTTGACTCGGGTACAACCGCAGCAAAACAAAAACATGAACAAGAAACATCTTAAAGTGACTACACGCAACATAAAGATCCTGGAAAAAACAGCGAAGTCTTCTAGAAAAAGCACCATATTTCAACGCTGTGTGCAAAAATCCCAGTGGGATGCAAGTCAAACAATAACCATAAGACAATGTAGATTAAAGTTATCAGGCTAACTCTGTACTACAACAAACAAACATGGCTAAACTAAAACGTTTTCAAAATCACCAAAATAAAGCTATAAAAACAATGTAACAGTGATCATAGGAACTGTGATTCAAATTTAACAATAAACGATATATACATAACATGTATGACCAAACTTTGCAGCCATAGTTGGCTGCATGAGTCACTCCATAACAGCAGGAGTATCAGTAGCAGAATCAAGATTTTCCAATACACATTTAAAGATCAAAACTCAAGATCATACTTTGCAGCGGTCATCCGGAATGATACATTTGATTTCAGTCCATTCTGAGTAGCAGTGGCAGCTAGGGGTGTACAACTCCTCTAGAGCAGTTTTGAGTGAAGATCTCACAGGTAGTGATCCAAGTTGCAGTTTATTGGCGATAGCATTCCAGACCCTGGGGGCATCAATAAAAAGGCCCTTCCTCCAGTATTTGTACGGCAATAAGGAATGTGAAGCTGGTTAATGAGCGAAGACCTTAGGTCACATTTGTTCTTCGAAATAGTGAGGAGATCCAGCAGGTAGTCTGCCGATTTTTTTGTAAGTACATCGTGAATAAATAAGATCTGATGCACAAGGCCGAGTGATACATTGAGTCAAGCTTCTTCAGTAAAGTACTGGGGGCTGATTTATATATGATGTCACAGTAATCAAGTATAGTCCAGGGTGCACTGCACTCTGAACTTAGGTGAGTTTGGTTTCTGGCCTTGGCTAACATCAGCGGTGAGTGAAATCTATACTGGTTCTGCTTCCCCTCCTTATCCCCTTTGTCAATTTACACTGACCAGTGTGGTGAAGTGTGGACTTAGAATGACAGCATGAGGAAGCCTTCATCTTGAGGTGGCTTGAAAAGGACAATTTTTTTTACAGCTTGCGGCTTGAGCATAGTTGTGATAACATTTTATAACATTGCTCTGGCTTAATTATTAGAAGTTGTACTCATTGCCCACGTAGCTGCGAATATGTGGGTAAGTGAACAAATGACTTGAAAAATAGATGACACATTCTACAGAGTGTAAACAAAAATGTACACGTGGTTTTCAATATCCGTGTTTTTGTTTCAACTGGGCCACCCCTCTACCTCCATCCACTACCATGGAGCATGGAGAGTTGACTGAATTATACATTTGTATTAAGTCCCGCTTTACTGTGCTACGGGTGTTTCATCCGCATTGTCTGCCACTCTTCCCCTACTATCCCCCCTCCCCCGGTTCCACTGAAGGATTTCCGCAATGGGCAGCTCATCATCCCGTCGCTGGATGGTAGTTTGTTCCAGTGGGACGGCGACAGCATGAAGGCGCTGCCCTTCACCGTGGAGTCTCTGCTCGACTCGTCATCCCGTCTCGGTGACGATGTCGTGCTCATGGGCGGCAAGGTCATCAGCACCTACGGCATCTTGGCTGACACGGGCAAGGTACAGGGGGGCGGCTGCTTGCTGTGTCCTTTCTCTTTGGCATCTTCGTGCAACCGCCTGGCATGAGTGAACATGCGGATGCATTTGTGTGGTTGCGTGTGGAAAGTCATACCTGAACCAGTACTGGCGTCTCCCTTAGGTGGACTCGACCTCAAATGAGTACAGTACCTGGTACACTATGTAAACATCATCACTGAGGAGACAAAGTTGGCCGGACGTGGTAATGACCGCCTCCACCCCTTTGTGTGCCATGGCGGTCTTCATAGGTGCTCGCTAACAGAACTTGCCCCAACAGTCGCTTATGTTTATCTACATGTTTTGAAGTGTATTTTCTATTTCGCATTGTATTTGCAGATTTTCTTGTTGTCTCAAATACACCTTCTTTCTGGCATCTGGAAATGCACTTTGCGGGAGGCGCAATATAAGTAATAGATTATCATAATAATGATGATGGTAAACAGTCTGAAAGGCTGTGCGTGCCATAGTGGACGTTACACAATACGTTTCTTCCAAAAACGACGTAGTGCGTGCTGCTCCTGTGTGCGTTTTGGTACAGTTGTTTACGCAAATGCTTGGTCGTGTTGCACACCGTGCTGTAGTTGAAGTACAGCTGCACGTCGGCCGGCTGCCGCCCGTGGAAGGAGGACGAGCAGGTGGATGCGGACGACCTAGTGTTGGTGCAGCGCGTGCAGAAGACCGTGCGCGCCGTCGCCCCACGCAGTGGCGCCGAGAAGTACGTTGCAAAATACGAATAAAAAAAAGAAACGGAGCTCTTATCGCTTGGCATCATTGTCTTTAGGCTGGGCATCACCGGGCTGTCGGGCACAAGTTCTAAGCGTTATTAATGAGGGAAATTTTTTTATTTAAAATCATGGTCAGGTGCAAGATAATTCTGTTGACAGTGAGATGACTAGACTTTCAATAGGGATGTAGCTTTTGAGAACTAACAGCTCTAATAATGTTGGTGGGTTCCTAGGTTGCGTGTCCCAGACTATCCGATACAAGTTTGAAGCTTCCTGAAGGAGACATTTAAAGAAAAAAAAATCATAGTTCTGTTTAACCTTCCTGCTGACGATAACATCACTAGTGCCATCGGTACTTTATCCCACCAATGAAGCCTCAAACTTATGTCAAACAACCTGGGATGCACAGCTACTTCTCCTCTTTATGTAAGAATGAATTGGGACTTTACTTGCGTCTTTCATTAGGCTCTTGTCGTGGTATACAGTGGAGATGAAAGCATAACTAATTTTATATTAAAAAAATAAATATCACAATGAATAAAATAAAATCTAAATGATATTTGGGACAAAAGTTGATTTAAGCTTTAACATTTTGGTGCAGTCCTAGCAGCATTATTCTCAAATATTTAAAGTAATTTTTTTACTGAAATTAACTACAGTAAATTACTAAACATATACAAAGTCCAACAAGCATAAAGTACAATTGTAACTATGTCCCATTCATTACTTTCTATTTTGTTGTAGCATTGTTCGACTTAACGAACCTGTACTGACCATGGCGAAGTATCGTTAAAAGGCCCCCACAACTGACAGTGTGGTGATTCGTAGTCTTGCAGTAGATTGGCAGAGGACTTTACATTAACTTTATTTACTTATATATTTCACGTATAGCTGTCAAGTGAGTAGATCCAGGGCTCGCTTTCGGCACCTTTAATGAAAGGAAAAAGTCCACGTCTGAAGTAAATGAATGAACGTGGCATTTCTGTCATCTCTTCCAGGTGGAATTTCAGCGTGGGACAGTACGACATCATGTTCTACCGTGGCAACGAGGGGAACTTCCAGAAGGAGGAGGATGAGAGCCCTGACCCAGTGAAGCTGCTGCAGACCATGGACGTGGCCCTCAAGGTGTCTGTGCCGGATGGCAAGGTGCTGGCCTTCCGCAAGGCGGGTGCTGGCGAGGTGGTCTGGGAGCACAAGGTAACGGCGCCACTGCCATGGCACCCAATCACTCGCCATTGTGAATACAGACTTTCACTCCAGCGCACGGTGGCAGCATTGTGCTGCGCGTGCTTGTAACTACAAAAAGAGATTACCAGTTGGCTTCCTCCTGGTTCTGCCACTCCTCATCTTGGATTTCTGAGTTTCTGGCCTTAACATGCTACCATTAAAGGTGCCTTCTGGCTTTGTGCGCTGTTGCACCATTTGGCATGTGTGTGTGTGTATATTGTTTATCTGCTTTTTGTCGTGACTGCTTATGACTTCACACTTGTTTACATATTGAATATACGTATGAAGCAATAATACAAATAAAACCATACTGCAGTAATACCTTACGGATATTGTGACGTGACTACTCGAGTTATGTCACAGTCCCATGTGTTGTTGACGTTTTGTTGACGAATGCGGCCCAGTAGCTTTATGTGTGTGTTTTTTTTCCACTGTGGTACCTTTTGCAGTTTTCAAGTCCCGTGGCGGCAGCGTGGCTTCTCAAAGATGGCCAGGTGCTGCCCGTCAGTCTTTTCGACCGTGAGGTGGTGCCGGCTCTGGAGCCGGACCAGCGTGAGGAGGACGAGGAGGATGATGAGGAAGAGGACATGGTGGAGGCAGCACGTGGCGTGGCCGAACCCAGTGTCTACCTTGGTATGACACGCGGTGACGATGCAGCCCTTTCGCATCCTTCTGCACTCACCGGGTCAGAATTCGTGCTTACAAATTTGTTATGCCGTACAACAGGCATTACAAGGATGCTGCCATGGTTAAAACACACTACTTGGAATCCAGAAGTCACTGGTTTGATTGTATATCCTGGCTCAGCATTTTCAAATAATGGCCAAGTTTTTTTTTGTATGTCTCCGCCCCTGTCCACCCAGCAGCAAAATGGTTCACCACAGTTAATCGGTCGGTGGGTCGTGTGTGGGTATGCCCACCCCTTCCAATACGTCTGGTCAGCATGGAAGAGTAGGCCAAATATACTCTGTAGGGGCTCTCTAGAGCTCTCTCTCGTGGTGGCCCTTTTTCCGGCAATGGCTGGAGAGTGGAGTTGCAAGGCTGCACTTTTCCCTTTTACAGGCATGTACAGGGGACAGATGTACATCCAGTCTTCACTGACCATGGCGCAGAAGATATCACGGGTGGCCCAGAAGTACGCATGGGACGGAGACCGCAACTCCAACGCTGTCATCTCTGTGCCTAGGGTCAAGTGGAAACCAATGCTGGGTGAGTGGTGAGGAGCCAAGCCCAGCCATCATGATAAAAACAACATCTTTCCTGAACACCTCCAAATTGCATTTATTGTAAGCTAATGTTGAGTGAGTGAGTAGAAGGGAAAGGATTAAATAGTTTGAAATATTTGGGGATATTTCTACCAGAAGGCATATTTGGGTGGCCAGATTATCCAGCTGCTGCACTTATTTTACTTGATTCATTCTGATTCATATTGGGAGAATATACAAGGTTTCAAGTATGGTGCCTAGGTGGCAGTCATTTCCAAGCACCAACCTAACTTATGCAAACTGCAAATTGTGCATAGCTGAAAGTAAACACTGAAAAAAGTGCATGCGAAATATATAAATGCGCAATGCCATCTGTGTTTTATGAGTCTGTGGTATTTTATGTAGAATTCTAAATGGTATTGGCAAATTAATCTTACTGTTTTTTTCCCACTCATGTAGGGGGTGTGCCTTTGCTGGTTGTCTTTCCTTTGCATTTATCGTACGTTCTCAAGGATTATGAATCACTAAAACCTCCTTTTGAAACTCAGCTTGGAATAAATATTGTGAAATAAATATTTGTTGGTTAAAATTAACTGCATTCGTTTGATTGGTCTGTAAATACATTTAAGCCGCTGGCTTTCTTATGCTGCTCTGGTGTTGTGGTTTGTGTAACCCGCAGCCACGGCCCCGTCCCTGACCCCCGCCAACGTGCCTTTTAACGAGCTGGAGCGACGCATGAACGGGGGTGGTGCCGACACGAGTGGCGAGTCGGCAGCTGGTGCCCTCTCGGTCATCGCCTCGTCCAATAGTGAGTCGTGAATGCCCTGCTCACTTCGCCCCCCTTCACCCATTGTACGTAGCAAACCGTGCTAATCGAAGGTGCTGGGGAAGGCCCGATGGTTCTCTTCACCGCTCTTTATCTGCACACGCCAGCAACATCATTTGTTGGTCCTTTAAGCGGTTGGAAAAAATAGTCCATTTGAATGTGTGACTTTGTGAGCTGTAAATTCGTGCATTTGAAAAACTAATGATGATGCTGTTACAGGGGCCTGCAAGCTTGCTTATCTTTCTTCCATTGCTTTACTTCGTGTCTGTGCTCAATTACAGGAAGGCTTTTTCCAACTTTTCAGTGCCTCTGTAAATATTTTCTTCATGTTCTACCTTTCTCTCTCTACTAGGGGGCGCTGTGGGATTGCATGTAGTTTTCACCACTGGATGTGAGTCTGCTCTACCACTCAAATTAATACTCTTGTGCATTAACAGTAATGTGTACACACTTTTATATAATAAGTTTGATATTTGTTGCACCAAAAATAATCCACAAACATTGACAATGTGTTTGGCCTTGTAAAACATAAAAAAACACTTCTATGTTACATAAGTTCTGTGATAATATACGAAATAAAACTACAGACTTGTTGATTTTACCGTTTCACCATTGACGACCACATCTTACGGCGCTCTTTTTTGCTGTCAAAATATCACCGCATTTCTCGCCAACAAAAGAAAGCATCCGTTGCCTCTCAGCACCCATCATATCTCTTCGGTTTTTTGCTTGTGCAGATGACGGCTTCTACTTCCTGCACACTTACGAGGCCATGGACCAGGGAGCGGCAGCGGGACCGGTGGCTGACGGTCCCGACCCTGTGCCAGGCCGCAATGTCCTGCGCCCGCCGCCCGCCCTCATCGACTTCGAGGTGAAGCCGGAGCCGCTCGAGGCGTCGCTCCGTTCCATGGAGGTGCTCACCTCGTTGGTGCTCACCGTCGTGCTGGCTACCTGCGTCATTATCGTATACTGCCGGAATTCGCTTTCCACTATCAGACGGGTACGTTTGCTCGTTCGCTCGCTCACGTGTGCACACACAGTCACCAAAGTGGCTTCTACATTGGAAGGGGAATTAATGCTCTTCGGTGTGTTGTACCCGTGCGTTTGTTCGGCGTGATGTTCAATCTTTTGCTGCATGTGCTTGGAGAGAATTTTAGACATTGCACTTAACAACGGGTGGTATAACCTGAAACATTTTGGTGAGCTATACAGCGCAACTGTGAAAACCTACAAAGTACGTTCGGTTTGTTAAAAGAAAGCATGTGCTCCGTACCCTGGTCATGGTGGGGCACTTAAGCGCCATTGCAAGAAGATGCAATTCTGAAATAGCAAATAGATGTTATCTTATAGATATATTCCTAGGCATTGTACCTGGATCTGTCGCACGCATTGAAATTTGACTAATGGAGAAAAGGCACTTGAAGTTTTGATCAGGGGCGCTACTGTATCACTTAAGTGACATCTGACGGATACAGTTTGATATTTCAATGCAGTAATCTTAATATTATGCTATAATATAATACCTAACCATGATTAAAAATAATTTTTTTAACAACATAGCTTGACGTTCTTATCTCGCAGTCCATGATGCAAAGCCCATATCTACAAGATAAGAGCTATATGTTGCGGTGTCATCTTCCTTTTTGGAACTCATGATAATAGTATTGCGTGTAGCCTCACCAGTGTTTTAGGAGGAGTTAGAAGGGTCTTAAGGGAATACATTTATTTTAATTTTGTCGGTTTAAACTGTCCAAAAATAGTTTTTTTAATTGAAATATGTCTTATGTATAAAGTTGAGTATTCATATTTGGTACGTAGATTAGTTATTTCTTTCCTAGAGGAGCAACGTTTCCTGTCTTAATTGAAAAGATGCTCATGAAACCAATACATTAGTTACTTGAACATTTACATAAATATATGTTAAAAAAAGTGCAATTGGACGCAGCAGTTAGGTAGGTTTAACTGCCCCTTGTGGTTCCCTGTGCGCGCTGCAGAAACGTCAGTCGTCGGAGAGTGAGGCGCAGACCGACAGTGTGTGTGACATCCTGACAAAGATGCCAAACCACCCAGCCCAAGCGGAAGACAATCTTACCACCTACGTCAGCAGGTATTTTGAGCCGGTTCCTTGCATACACTTGGCAGTTAATTTCTGTAAACCAAGACGTGTTTCAACGTAACTAACATCTCTCTACAGCTCTGGTACGTTACTGGAATACGCGCAACGGTTTTTAGGGGTTTGTGTGATGTGGAATTAAAGGAATATTGCGAGTCTCTGCATACGGTATCATTTCCTTAACTTTTGAATGTTTCCGCAACATAACTTGAAGGTTCTGAACAATATTTGCAAAAGACTTACAATCAGTGGCAATCGACCATTACCATCTTCATATTATCAGTCGTTGTGGTCTGTGTGAATATTATATTTTTGCTCTGTGTCTCTCAACTGCAGTGGGCATAATCCCCACTGGCATGGCTGTTTCTTGATTACATCTTTTTATATTCGTATGCAAACTATACCAGTGCGCACTGCATGCACCTGATGGTTTGTAATCACCAAAAACTGTACCATGGGGGTCGTCAGAACTCGAGTTGAGAAATACTGTTATAGATCATCGGCCATGATCTAGCAGTTTAGCCAAAACATAATTTAGCTCTAGTAACTCATTTTTCTATACGACAGCCTTTTCACAGTTTAGCAGCAGTTTTATAGTATAGTATAGCTCCTTGTGAAAATATGCATCTTAAACCGAGCACACTGTTAGAATGCTCATGTAGAGGCGTTCCAGCACACAGCTAGAGTCTTGATCAGGTTTCTGTCTTGAAAACACGAACCGCCAAAGGGCAGTTTTAAGGCAGTGGCCAAAGGCTCCGAATTACTTTACACATCCCCTTATATATATACTTCTCTGCTCCCGCAGGTACCTCACCGACTTCGAGCACGTGCAGTGTCTGGGGCGCGGAGGGTTCGGCGTCGTTTTCGAGGCCAGGAACAAAGTCGACGATTGCCACTATGCCATCAAGAGGATCCGCTTGCCCAACCGGTACCAACCAGGCCCTTCACATTATTAGCCTCATCCTACTTGAGTGTCTTTTTTCTATGCTAATGTACAAATGAGACAGAAAATGAGAAATGCTAAAAACGAGATGGTGAAAAGCAAACAAATAATACTTTCTGGAATCGAGTAGTAACATTCATCAAATCGCAAGGGGAGGGTACATTTACATGGCTAAAGCGCATATGTTTAGTGTGTGTCTTTAGGTCGGAGCCTATTACCAAATCTCATCAGGCCTCAAGCTCAGTAGGGTGAAGCCTGGATGTGCCTGAATGCATGACCACATTCACTCTTGGTTGTCGTAGGCTGCTGCGAGGCAATGCAGTGGGCAGCATAGAGAAGTGCAGCAAAATCCATGTTTGTTACTCGTCTTATCTTCTCCCATGTCTAGCTCATTGCATTCACCAACCAACACACTCACAAGCGTGGTGAGGTGTGATCAAATAACCACCCTCCGATAAAGCACTGGCATAGGGGATACAAATATTAAAAACCCATTTAAAACATGAAGCAAAAAGGTGTGATTTGAATCGCCAATTACATGGGTGAAGCCAGGCTGAGTCCCTTGAAAATGGAAGAACCTATTGATACATCCTATGCCGTTACACCAAGATCCCTGTGACACCGATAGATTGGCAGTGCCTTCAATGTGAGGAATAGGAGTGGGCTTATTGAGACAGTAACCGTATGGGCCATTGAGGAGAGTGGAAGATGACCACCGCTTTTAAAATAAATCAAAGAAATATTTCATTACCATGTACACGAGGGCATTGCACTGTATACAACATATAAACCACCAACCCTCACGCCTGAACGATGCGTGAGCGTTATTTTACCAAACTTTGCCATGCTGGTGAACGCGCGAAGGAGCATAGACTTGTAAGAATCAGTGTAGTACAACTATGCATTTTGCTGCACCACCTCTGCTGGCCACCGCATAGCCCACAGCCTGTAACAACCGAGCATGCATGGTGGCCAGCAGTAAATGTCAGGAGTAAGCTTTAACTTCTTAAATCAGTAATATTGAAGCATAATTAGGACCCTGTCCATAGATAGAAACCCATCTCGGTAATGCATGTGTCGTCCGAAATGAGGCCAACTTAGAGAAAGCGCGTGAAACATCCCAGTTGTGTAGGAGGATGCGCTTGAAATAGTTCTTCTTTGACTCTTGGAAAGATCATTGACATTGGGAGCTGCATAAAGCTCCAAGTGCATCAGATAAACGTGAAGTTAACCACGTTAAATTGAATTTGGTTTGATCCTCGCCTTAGGGAACCTTCACCCTTATCTTCATTCCAGTGATTGTTATCTGATGTTATTCGGGTGAACTGGTCTTTCTTAGCCCCTCACCGCCCCACCCCATCCCCCTAGCAAACTGTAAGTGCCGAGTGTTCCTTTACACGAACCTCCACATTGACACCGTTAAGTGACCATTTCGTTTTTGTCTTGATAGTGCAATTTCATCTGCTCGTTAAGCGTGAACATAATATGAATATATTATTTTCATCCATTGTCAATTAATTTTTAGATGCGCTATTTTATGCTTTAATCATAAGAATTGATTTTAATTGATGAATGAGTGTTGTTAAATGCCTACTTTATATAAACGGACTATTATAATTACACATTCAGATGCCACCATACAGTCATTGCTATGTCGTGCCAGGGTTTGGCACAGAAAGCAGAAAAGCTTTAATAACAAAGATGTATTGTTTTGTAAATCCACACGCACGATAACTGGCGACTCGGAGAAGAGAGGCCGACCCGGTGATGGGGAGATTGCCCACACCGGGCGCCTCTTTTTGGATCAGCTGTAGCTCCGTACAGCCGCAACAGGCACAGATATTTTACTCGATTGAATCCACACGTCGTTGAGTGCCTACTGTATACAAATACAACACTGTACCTTGTCGCGCTCGTTGTCTCGCCCAGGATACAAGCACGCGAGAAGGTGATGCGTGAGGTGAAGGCTCTGGCCAAGCTGGAACACCAGGGCGTAGTTCGATACTTCAACGCGTGGCTCGAGATGCCGCCACAGGACTGGCAGGAGGAGAAGGACAAGCAGTGGATCAGTGACTGCAGGCGAGTTAATTAATTTATTGCTTTGCAGCCATTCATGATATGTTCCCCACCATTAATACATACTTAATTTACAGGCCTTTGTCAATTCACTGCTGAGTGAACATGTTGGTCATCAGGGTTTTGGAGCCTTGCTTTACTCTCCTGGTCAGTACTGGTTGGTGAAGGGTGATGAGGGGGGTTATACCCCAGGACCGTTTCATGTTACTTGGGATTGCTGTAAGCCATGACTGGGAATCGGACTCAGGTCGACAAGTACTAGCACAGAATGCTAATCACTGCACCACCACTCGACCACTATTTTCTATTAATGTCAATGACGTGAGTTGATGGCTCTGCTCGAATCCCAGTAGAGAATAAGCTTAATACAGTCGGGCAGTTTGATGGGTTAGTTTTTGTGCTTTCATAACAATGTCATACGTTATTGTGTTTAGGTGAACATTTTCTATTATGTAACAAGTTGAATTCTTTTAAAATATTTTTATATTATCTTCCATCGCATCTAAATAACATTTGTTACTTCATGATTAAAGGTCAGAATTCTGTTTATAACTTACCGAATTTGTATGTCTTTGTATTAATAGTATTCTCTTGTAGTTGCAAAACTCGACTCGTTGAAAACTTCCTATTTTTTAATACATCACTCGCTACTAATGTTGTTTCTCATTTAGCAGTGAATGGGTGCTCAGTTCTCAAAGCCCGATGGAATCGGAGAAGTTCCCTTCCCATCTGCCACCGAGGCCCATACCACGAGAGAGCACTACGTTGTCGCGCTCGTGGAGTGATTTCGACTTGCCTTCCATCTCCTTCCTCGTGAACTCATCAGCGGTCGACACGCAGGGCTCGCTGCTGTCCTCCGACCTCTCGTTCATCACTGAGAAGTCGCCCGAACCACTAGAGCGTCAGGACGACAGCCTCCTCACAGAGTGCGAGGAGTCCGGACCCACATCGCAGGATACGAGCCTTGTGAGGGGTGCGCAGCACACGGACGACTCGCTGGACATTGTATTTGAGGACTCGGGGTGTGGGGAGAAGCCCAGCAGGAAGACGAATTCTGGTGCAGTGGGGAACCCAGAGGAGTCCCAGATGCGCAGCACCTCCACCGATGGGTGAGTTTGTTAACCCTGCCCCCTTTACAAAGATTCATGAGGAGTGGTGGGGGCATTGCACGGCTAACATCAGTGGTGAGTGATATCCAAACCAGTCCTGATCCCCCCCCTGCTTCGCCAACCCGCAATGACCATGTCAGTCGTAGGGCTGGTTGACCACTTTTCACAACACTGGTCGCTGATAAAAGGATGGGAGGCAGGGATATGGACCAGTTCTCATATCATTCGCCATTGGTATGAGCCGTAGTCAGGAGTTGATGCCAGGTGGCAAACCACTCACCACTGTGTACCACCACTTGACCAAATTATGAAAATGGGTGTGAGAGGTTGCCATTCCTTGTTGGAACATTTGCAAACTTGGTTCTTTTCACATTTTTATTTCCAGCTCTTCGACAGACTCCAACAAAGCAGCGACTCCTCCGGTCGAAACCGCGAGCACCAGCTCAAGCTCCACGGCCACCCAGCCCAACAGGCCCACGTCGCTGTTGCTGAGCGAAACGCACACGGCGCCGATGCCGGCGAGGACGCACGTGGACGCGAGCACGGAGACAGGGCCGGTACCCCGGCTCTTCCTCTACATCCAGATGCAGCTGTGCCGTAAGGACAGCCTCAAGGAGTGGCTCAACAGCAGGACAAATGCCGCCGATCGCAGCCGCACCGAGTGCCTGACCATCTTCCAGCAGATTGTCAACGCCGTGCAGTTCCTGCACATCTCCGGCCTCATGCACCGTGACCTGAAGGTGCCGCACGGACTTTACCCTCAAATTTTACATACAACACTGGGTACAAAACCACATCAGCATAAATGTGCAAATTGTCAGCTTAACGCAAATGGAGTGGTGGTTGAAACGACTTGGCAAGATTACGTTCGTAAAAGTTAATCGGTAGTTTGCGTGTTGTGGGGTGAGGTAATTTACATCTTCTGAACTATTAAGCATTGCAATCTAACAAATTGAATGTTAATGTATAACTTTGGTTTGTGTGTTCTCTATTTCTGCATTCAAAGCCATCAAACATCTTTTTCTCGCTGGATGGAGTTGTGAAGATCGGAGATTTTGGGTTGGTAACGGGCACGGAGCACGAGGAGGAAGGGGCGGTGCTGACTCCCATGCCGGGTCATATTCACCACACTGGCCAGGTCGGCACCAAGCTCTACATGAGCCCTGAGCAGGTGTGTGCAAGTGAGCACGATCACTATCCGTAAGACTCTTTCACACCTGTGACAACAACCCTTTCCGCTCGTGACATCTTCACACCTGCAACTACTTCCCACATTCGCTGTGTTATAGGCAGTGTGTTCCTACGCTCTCCAACTGATCCTTATGGTGGTACCCCAGGGTACCAAATAATACAAAATGGCCGAGGCAATTAAATATTTTATTTCTGGGACACTCTTTTTTCCAGGGATGTATCTAACTCCAACTGGGGTACCAATCAATCCGAAATCGGTGCTACTCCTCGATGTCGAAACGCAGCGAAGACGATTGCGCCGAAACCCTGAACGTTCGTATGCACCCTAGTGCATCGTGTACAGCTCGTCGAGATGAGTCGATTACCGCATCGCCGACCCTCAAACAGACTAAAAATTACTGCATCACGGACATTATGCGAGAGCCGGGGTACCGCCAGAAGGTTCAACTGTCAAGCTGTTATCCCCCCCATTCATCTATTTAACTGATCTTGTTAGTGGGTAGGTTTTGATGGAGTGCTATCGAGATGTTTTTTTGGGTTTCACCACGTGTTTAATACGATAATGGAGCTTCTTTACAAACTTATTTAAGCAGTTCACTCTGTGCCTCGGTATCGGCAAGCAACGCTATACAGCGTGAGAAAGAGAGCTTCTCAATTTAAATTACTCAGGAAGATTCCCAGTATATGGAGCAAAACATATTATTGTGCCAAACACGTGGTGTGATCCGAAAACAAATAGAAGTTTCCGAGTTGAAATCCAAACTACAGCCAAATCTTCTCCATCACCTATTTGAGTATTTTGTATCTCTTTTTTTACTTATCCTACTTCCTATGTAATTACAAACTCCTACAAGCATAACGTTAAATAACATAGATGTGTAATGTTACTAATCTACCCTTCCTGTACTTGACGTTATTTTTCTACGGCATAATATACCGACGGACATATTAAGGACGCTTCAAACAATCCAAGTTGGCTTGTGTTGTAATGTAATGGAGACTTTGGTATTGCCAATGGAAAACAAAATAGCTTTCAGGCCTCTGCAAAGAGCATGCAAATGCACAACAGCCTGGTCCAGTCTCCGTGAAAAAGCTTATTGTGTTCATGTTAAAGCAACATAGAAACTATAGAAGACATTTTTACCCATTATTGAATCGCTGACATACCCGAATGCCACAACTGTGTGTCTATGGCTGTTGAGAATAAAGATCCTTACAAACCATAGAGCATCTGTTTAAGAGTAAAGTGTTTTGTATTGTAGAGACACGGCACTACCAACATGGAGTTTCTTTTTTTATTTCAAACGGGCAAACACAAATAAAACTTGCCAACATCAATCATGCATGACCTTTGAACTGTTGTTTATTATTGAAGTTCTGAACATATGGCATGAAACAATAGAGTAAACTTGGCTACAACCGATTTGTCAGGGTTTCATATTTAATGTCTTGTCAGTTTACTATTAAGTGCTGTGTATTTCTGTACACCGTTTGATTTATGCTTTAAAGTCATATTTATTTTTTGTTACAGCTTGCTGGCAGAGCATACTCTCATAAGGTGGACATATTTTCTTTGGGCCTCATTCTGTTTGAGCTGCTGTGTCCTTTTGGCACACAAATGGAAAGAATCAAGGTGAGCATGTGCAGTTCTTACTTTAAGTCCTGGATTCTGGCTACTGCCACATGCATATGCGTTGGATTTTGAATAAATAAACATGTATGCACGTTGGCAATTAAATGCCTTTTTGTCATTGCAGACCCTTTCTGCTGCCAGAAATCGCATATTCCCTGATCCTTTTGTGACGAGCAATGTGGATGAGGTAAGTGTTGTGAATGAATTGTGTGAAGATAGTTCCTTGAATTTAATGTGCCCCATTGCTGCAAAGTGTAATCTATACAAATAATTGTGTATTTGTAAGGTTTTACAGTGGGAAATTACTGGTAAAACAATGTTGTTGTTCACCCTTCCTAACCCCCACGCCTGGAATTTTGACAATTCAATAATCATCTATTTGTCGCATTTGTATTGTCTGCCTTAATTAAATTTGCCTAAGTATGCAATGTATTAGCGTAACATTTGCATTCATTCTAATTCTCACACGCACAATTCTACGCATGCATTTTACACGCAAGAACTGGTTATAATAATGTGTTACTTGCTCCGTATTGAAAATACGCAACACGTTCACTCGTGTTCTTTTGCGCTTTCAGCACCAGCTGGTTGAGAGGTTGCTGGCTCAAGACCCGTCACTTAGGCCGGAGGCGGAGGAGATAGCCCAGGCTGCACTGTTTGCAGAACTCGATCCCCCCATAATCCCCGTCATTCGCCAGCATTCCCGAACACACAGCCTCTCCGGCATAAGATTGCGTTCCAACTCATTTTCTAGTACATAAGTGCTTTTGGTTGTTCTATGTTGATCTGGGGTTGGTTAGATTTTGTACATTGTGTATAATACAAATTCATACATGCAGAATTTTGTCTGTGCTTTTTTCTGGTTACATTGAGTTACGACAAATCAAATTATCTTAATGTTTCACTGCTTAGTTTCCTGATAAATGTTAACATTTTACTTGAATCTTTTGCTGTTAATAGGCCAGGACCGTTTCTAAACACTGGCAGCTTGTCTGTTTACAATTTTTCTTTAAAATATTTTTCCCCATCCAGTATGTTACCAAAACGAATACATTACATGCTCATTATGGAGACCTGTACAATAATACTATTTTGTTCAATGTTAACTTTTCTAAGGCTACCTTTCAGAACACCTTAACTATATGGATACCTCTAAATAAATGGAATGCTCCACTAATTGTCACCACCTATACTAAATAATAAAGTCTTAAGCATAAATAGGTGTGACAAGTGTACGATGAAAGTAAACCATTTGATTTGGGGATGATAACTTGTACATATGGCATATCATTTGGTTCAAGCTGCAGGAAATAACATACAATAATTTATACAGTTCCAACTATATACCCATTTCAAGACCTGACTTAACATAGTTTTTCAGTCCGTATGGCAAATGTAAATGGGCTATGTAAATCTCGGAGGTACTGTTAAAGAAATGTCCAATATAATGCAAAAAAGTCGTGCAAAATCCAAAGCGCATATATTGAAGGATGGGCTAGAAACTAACCACAGTCATCTACATGGAGTTGCTGTTGTTGGTGATGAAGTATTTTCAAAGAAAAAATGAACCGGCACAGCAAATAAACAAATTTATGTAACTCCTAACAACAGTGCATACCAGTTAATAGGCACAGGGGAAGCCTAAGAATGAGGTAATGGTTCCTCCAGGAACCACAAACTGGTTGAACTTTGTCTGGGTGGTAACTTGAACAAAAATGAATGTAACAAGGTGTGAATGATTTATGAAAGAACAAGGGCTTGTATTCAACAAAGTAACGAAAACCATTTATATTTTTTATTTTACAGTATTGCAATGTTTGACGTGCACAAACTGTAAAAATGTTTTAAATCAATGGTTTGTATTTTGGTCTGTCTTTTAAATAGAAAGTTTTAAATGTAAATTTTTATGAGTTATAGGTTCAAGCCAGAGCAATGTCCTTTTGTGAAACCTGTAAATTAAATTATTTTGAGGCTTTGGATATTTTTTTTGTGGTTGAAGACATTTTAAGTGCAATATTTTATGGTGACCAAAATACCATGTTATTTTTAAACCGATTAAAATAAAATGTCCACGGAAAACATTTTTGTTGACACAAAATGCCTGGAAAAATGTGTGCTTGTTAATTGCTAGAAAAATTAGGAGACACAAGGGGTGGATAGATCTTTAGGGTGTCAGAAGGAAATACATCACATACTGTACTTATTAAAATGATGAAACACTTCTATTAGGGGCCGTCCATAAATGACGTCACGCACCTGGGGGGGGTTGAGAAATGTGACGTCACATCAAAATGCGCAACTTTAAATCAATATAGACAACACGTTCTACTTAATTAAATAGACTTTTAATATGTTTTCGCCTACAACAGAGTGCAGCGCCACATTAAATACGCACGACAATGGCAATAGTTTAAAGCGATTTGAAGCATGTTTTTTTAGGGGGGGCAGAGCTTCGTGACGTCATATGTGAGCGGGGGTCTGACTTTTTATGACGCCGTGTGACAAGGGGGGGGGGTCAAAAATCGTCCAAAATCGCGTGACGTTATTTAAGGACGGCCCCTTATACCACATGCAGAATAAACTTTTACATAACCATTTTGGTTACCAACTAAACCAAACATTTTTTACAGCTCCAGAAGTTTTAAACAACACACAAATGTGTACAAAGGCAAATGTATTCACTTCTCCGAAGGTGGAATGGCAACTGTGGCAACATCGCAGGATTGGATGACCTTCAACCAGTCCTGCTCCATCTTTTCCTTGCAGTCGTTGCATATGTTTTTCTGTTCTTCTATGCAGTCCATCCCAAACAGATCAGAATCCATTAATGTTATGCTTATCATCAGACGGTGGGCTTGCTCTGTTTGGGAGAAAAAAATATTACAACAGTGCAAAAATCAGCAATTCCACCTTGTATTCAAACAGCAGAGTGAAGCTCCGTATGGTTGATAATCAAAACAATGCCATACCAGAGAGAGTTGATACCATCTGACTCATTGCCTCCATCTCCAGTCTGACTGCCTCCAATTGCAGCAGATGCTCCGTGTTTTCATCCATTTCAAACAGATAATTTCCCTTTAGGACAAGCAGAATCGGGTAAGCCACAAGACATCGCCTTCATGTATTACTTTCACAGGACAAAGCGGTGAAATATGCGGTTTCGAGAAATAGCAAGGTACTCGTTTTGGCCATACATATACTGTATATGTTATGGGATTTAATATAACAGGCATACAGTAATGTATAGAAACCCAGTTTTAATCTGGTAATATTTACCTTGTTTCATACATCTCACATGCCACGTCTTTTAAGTGAATCACATAACAAAACTACACGTATAAAAAACGTACAAGAGATGCAGTTGTTTAGTTGTTTACTTGTTCACGTATTGTTACAATGAACTGACCGACCCTGCACTTGGGCAAGGCAGGTACTTGGCTACCTTTTAGGATTGTATTTCCTTAATGAGGGAAACAATCACTTGTGGTGTTTTAAAGAGCTCTTCAGAAGACTGCACAAAAACAAGAGTTGTTTGTTCTGTGCGTCGTGTTGGCGGGTCACTGCAGCTTTAGCGGACTTGGTGCACGTGGAATAAACGCACACAGCCTCTATGCAATTATGCAAAAAAAAACCATCGGCGGTTCCTGAATAATTTCATTGTGGTGTTTCTTGACTTTGGTCACCATCAAAATAAATTTTGAACAAATGTGACTGAGAGGCCGACGACAGTGTTCCCGTCAATGACAAATTATCCTTATGGCGGTACCCCTGGGAACGAAATCATATAGAATGGCCGGGGCAATTAAATACTTATTCCTAAAAGTGTCCCAGAACAATTTCTGGGACACTTTTTTTTCGGGCAGTGGAGTGAATCGTTCCACTCCCTGAGGATAGCGAATTTGTTCGGGTGGACCGTGGGCTACCGCGTTGCAAGAGCGTCGCTAAATGCCCTTTGGAAGATGAGTAAAAATCGCTGCCTGTTTACCATAAAGTGTGCGTGTGAAACGGTAAAAAATTTATCTTTTGTTCCGTCCAATTTATTCAAAGGTCGTGGCGCCATATGATGAGCCGAAGCAATTTGGAAGTCTCACAGTAGAATCGTTAACATTATTTTATGCAGGATGTCTCACAAACTCGTGGTCGAACTCTCCCATGCACCCTGCGATGAGTTTTCCCATGAAAGTCAAACCGATGTTTAAGCTTTCAATGCTGGAATACAGCCAAAGTAAGTGAAAACCAAATGAGTGTGTTTTGTGTATGGGTGTTGTGTGCAGCCATGAGATAGTTTTTTTTATCATGACAGATCTGCTATTCAGCCAAATGAAATAGAACATTTTCCCTGCAATTTTTAATAAAGTCATTGATGACTGGGCTTAGACCATCAAATGCACTTGAGAACCCAGTTAAATTACAAGTGGCTGTAACCTACATTAAACCCTATATCCCAGTGGTTCTGGCTTGGCTCCATGACCGATGAAGCACCCATCATTTAACATTTGTACAGGAGGAGTTCCGCCAAAAGGTGCAAATGTCGATCGGTTTCGTCCTCACGAGGACCGATGTCACCAAAATGCTCACTGCAAAGTCTGCCCCCTGGGGTTTCATCAAATTTGTGTTTTACATTTATTTTATTTTATACCTACGTGACTTTACCGAAAGAACCATAGAGTATGGTTTCCATCAGCTTTGCTAGCAATTACGTCTGTGAATGACAAGAAAGCCCCATGAGTGTGTCTGTGGTTGTCTGAAACTTGTGTGACTTTACAGCCATGAGCACCTTTGCTACGATGGGTTTTCATTCAAGGGTGTTCTCTTAACTGGGCGCTACAGCTGTAGTCGATGTACATTCACTGCATTTTGGCCTGCAACTTGTAAACTAAACACATTACCCGTGTCGTTACTGCGACACCTTTCAATTAAAAATAATCTTGTTTACACATCTTCTTGGTTCTTTCAGTAAAGTCACGTAGAAGGGAAATAATAAAATAAAAGCAATAAAATAAGCTTGGCAGCGTATTTTAAGCTTGGTGGGAGGAGAAGAGCGCCTTGACAAAGGAGTTTACATATCAACAGAGGAATTTAGCATTGAATATGCTGTGTTAATGTGAGAAAATTAGCAGGATGTTAAAGTCAGAAATTATCATGTAACTGGGAGATTAGCATGATGTTAATGTGAGGAATTAGCATGTAACTGGTCACGGAAGTGGCTATGTTCAAGTCAGAGTTTACATATCAACAGAAGCATTTAGTATATTGACGCTAAAGAACTGCAACCATCCACTATTATACAATAAACCAATGTGAAATAACTAAATATAAACTACATCAATATAATCAATGTACTCAATATAGTATCCAATAAGCTGAGCTATTAACATGAAGTAACTGGGTCTACAATACACTATATAATGCCTATCATATAGTGAACCGATAAAAAAACTAAAATATAAACTACATCAATATAATCAATGTACTCAATATATTCTCCAATACTTTATCGAACTTTGACTTTTCTACAGATTGCAAAGGGCTTGAGATACCGAAACACTTTTCGATTTAAAGCTTTCGTGACTGCAGGGATTAATCTTCGACAGACCTGTTCTCCACCTGAAGACGGCTGCTTGCGTTGTGGCCGAAACGTCGTGAGAATGATTTTATTATGTTTTATTTGTATTATTTTATTATTTTCCTTCTACGTGACTTTACCGAAAGAACCAAGAAGATACCAAAACACGTGCAATACTAAAGACCATTGTTCTTTTCGCCCCCCCCCCCCACCGTGCCATTCATTGGCTACCACATTCAGATAAGCCCCTCCCCCTCAACGAGTATATAAGAGCTTGTATCTTGGGTTTTTGCTTCACTTGATTCAGTAAATTTAGCTGTGACGGTCCCACTTGATGACGGAGACTTGTGTTGCCTCCGAAACGTCGTGATTTATTATTTTATTTTTTATTATTATTTCTATTATTATTTATTATTTTTTAATATTTACCTACGTGTCTTTACCGAAAAAACATAAGAGTATGAATCCTTGCAGTCACGAAAGCTTCAAATCTATAACTAAATACCATTATTTAAACGTATAAGGGTACCAAAATGGAACAGCGCCTTAAGAAAGTGTATAACGTGAGGGGGGCGTCGTGGGAGAGAGGGCGGGAAACAAAACGGAGAAACATCAAACAAGTGGCAACTTGCCAGGCCTATCACGTGTTTTACTTATTGTACATTTCCACAAACACGGTACTTCACTTAAAAAAAAAACAACTCAACATTTGCGGCCACGATAAGGGCCATTGGGTTTTATCTCACCTGCGTATCGCCCATTATAACGAAGTGTTACGTCACCAGCAATGAAATATCCTTCAATGTGTAACTGACCACCTAATAGCGGAACCTAAAACGTGCGTTTACTTGTAGATGTATTCTTTAATTATTGTCAAAAGTCCGGGCGCGATTCCAACTCGGCGAAGTGGCTTCGCCCGCTTCCGTCAGGCAGAGGTCGCAAACGGGTTTTGAGTCCCTACCCGGCGACCCGTAGCCGGGTACGGGTGGTGACCCCCCACCCCCTCCCCCCCCACCCCACCCCTTCCACCCCACCCCCTTCCCCCCCACCCCCTTCCCCCCCACTCCACCCCCTTCCCCCCCACCCCCTTCCACCCTTCCACCCCACCCCACCCCCCTTCCCCCCCATCCCACTATTTGCCCCCCACCCCATCCCCTTCCCCCCCACCCCCTTCCCCCCCACCCCACCAACTTCCCCCCCACCCCACCCCCTTCCCCCCCACCCCACCCCCTTCCTCCCCACCCCTTCCCCCCCACCCTCTTCCCCCCCACCCCCTTCCCCCCCACCCCACCCCCTTCCTCCCCACCCCACCCCCTTCCCCCCCCCCACCCCACCCCCTTCCCCCCCACCCCCTTCCACCCCACCCCCTTCCCCCCCACCCCCTTCCCCCCCATCCCACTATTTGCCCCCCACCCCATCCCCTTCCCCCCCACCCCCTTCCCCCCCACCCCACCCCCTTCCTCCCCACCCCACCCCCTTCCCCCCCACCCCACCCCCTTCCTCCCCACCCCTTCCCCCCCACCCCCTTCCCC